TTACACACATATACAATGTATCTGGAAAACAAATATCCAGTAATGGAATTTTTGATTCAAATAATGGAATATAGACTTCTTAATGAATATTGTTATTTTTTTCAAAAGAAATTAAATTAATGAATGCTCTTTTGTACCACATTTAACATATTCCATTAATTTTTTAACTCAGTCAGTATTTCAATAGTTTTAATACCTATTAGGTGCAGTTTGCTCGGTAAGAATATAAGATAGGCATTTTGGGTAGTGAAGATGTTGAAAGAATACCTTCTTCTGGTGATTGGATCTTATTGGAGTAAATTAATAAATTCTAAGACTTTCTACTAGAGTCAAGCAGGGTCCATTTATTTATTGTTGAGAAGGCTTAATATTGATGAACCTACAGAGAAATGTCAATTGCCAGCCACCAGACTACAGATAAGTGGAGTATCTGCTTTGTGGTGGTGATGGCTTAACATTAATGAGAAGAGGCAAGGAGATCATTATTTCAAAGGAAAGGTTTTAGAAATATTTACCCCTTTTCATTTTCCTTTAATCAAATCTTTTGTCATTTATGTCTAAGAATATGCATCAGCAAAAAAGACATTTGCACTGCATGCCGAACCACACAAATTGAACTCGATCCAGACCAAATTTGGAAATAGGTGGTTTATCTTCAGAACCTATCATTTCCCATGTCTTGTCTTCCATGTTCAGATTTTTCATCGCCTTAACTTCAGATTTTCAGGGGATCATGCTGCCCTCTAGCTGATTAAAAGAATTTCTTCCTTGTCTTCATGGAGAGATTTATCTGTCACATGGTCCATTTGTTCAGACTCTAAGGGACACTGATTAAGTACACTGATCCCTGCTGTAGCATCAATGTATGATTATAAAACTTTTTAAGTTTATTTATTTATTTTGAGAGAGAGAGAGTGCACATGAGTGGGGGGAAGGGGCATAGAGAGAGGAAGAGAGAGAGAAAGGCTCTGCACCATCAGCATGGAGTCCGATGTGGGGCTCAAAACCATGAACTGTAAGATCATTACCTGAGCTGAAGTTGGACACTTACCTCACTGAGCCACCCAGGCACCCCATGGGTATAAATTATTGTACTATATCTCCCAAACATTTGCCTCAGATCATTAACCTCATGCTTTTTGTGTCCTGAAGATGAGTGTATCGGGGCCCCTGGGTGGCTCAGTCGGTTTAACGTCCGACTTCGGCTCAGGTCATGATCTCACGGTTGGTGAGTTCAAGCCCTGTGTCAGGCTTTGTGCTGACAGCTCAGAGCCTGGAGCCTGCTTCTGATTCTGTGTCTCCCTCCCCTCAGCTCCTCCCCTGCTCACACTCTGTCTCTCTCTCAAAATAAATAAAGATTTAAAAAAATAAAAAAAAAAGATGAGTGTATCATCCTCTTGCATTGTCTTATCTACATTAAGAAAGCAGAATTTTCACAGACCAGTAGGCTTAACTGATTGCCAAAATATATATCTCAAAGGAACCTGCAAGAAGAATAAGTAATAGTAAATTGTAGCTAAGATGAGAGAAGATGAAGGTCAAGAAGGAAAAGACCTTTTGGGCAAACAATTTTACATACCTCTGTAATGTATCTGCCATGTGCTGGATGTGAATAAAGTCTTGCATTTATTTAGAGTAGAGCTTAAATTTCCATAGGGATACTTTGTCATCAGAAAGAGCATCAATTGTGCTTTACTACATAATTAGCTTACTGTCTGTTAGGTTTGTTTTCAAATTGGCAGTAAAATAAGCAAATATACATATTTTTCTTTAAAAGGTAGAAAACTTGAGACTGATTATGACAATAATAATCAGAAAAAATGAAATGAACCCTTACAGGAGTGTAGTAAGGTGAAAATAGTTTAACCAGAACCAATAAGGTGTTTTCAGTTAAGAACTAAGCTATGCTTTCACGAGAAGTAATAAAAAAAATTGGCTGATCACGAAGAAATATTAACACCAGTCAGTGGAAGATGCTACTAATCAATACCTATATTTCTCTATCTATAAGTTCAGAACAATACTGTGCTAAGGTTTTATCTGTAACCCAAATAATGAACAGTAAAAAAGTAATTACTAGATCTTACGACCATTCTTTTTTTTTATGTTTATTTTTTTTTTGAGAGAGAGAGAGACAGATTGTGAGCAGGGAAGGGGCAGAAAGACAGGGGATCTGAAGTAGGTTCCAGGCTCTGAGCTGTCAGGACAGAGCCCGATGTGGGGCTCAAACCCACAACAGTGAGATCATGACTTGAGCTGAAGTCGGTGCTTAACCAACTGAGCCACCCAGACACCCCTTAAGACCATTCTTAATAGACAAGTGAGTGAATAATCATCAGTGAGTGAGAAAGGCATTAGCATGATTAACATAATATTCCTGATTCTGGTCAGTATGAGTATCAGTAATCAAGAATATTCAAATGAAGTTTTATATTCTGCACTTTAGTTGTATGGAATCTGTGTTCAAAATAAACCTGTAGAATAGTGAAGGAGACATTTCCATCTTGGTTCTTTAGACTACATCTTTACCTGGGGAGGTAAAGTTATTATGAAAATTTGCTATCTTCTGAGACCTAAATTCTTTCCTCTTTCTTAAATTATTTGTAGAGCTAAATTCCGAGTCCAAACATTTACTTTCACTCTTGCTAATCTCATGAACATAGCTGAGACACCCCTGAAGTATGTTTTGTAAAGTAGAAATCATGGGACAGCAGCATTAAAGTAACATGAGAAGATTGATACGATGGCCTTGCCTGACAGCTCTGCTCTATTAGCAGAAGGTTCTCGAGATGGCAGGATAAAGCCCTCGGCAACATATGCTATGACAATCATGGTCATGACCTATTTCTGTTATTTCCTTTTTACATTGGCTTGCATTGTTAGCAATTTCCTATCCATCTATGAGATATCTCCAAGGCATTGCTAGGGCTCGGATTTCATATATAGAACTTAAAATAATGATACAAAAAAGAAAGGAAGAAAGAAAGAAGAAAATGGAAAAGAACGGTTAATTAATTTATAGAAGTGATGAAATGCATTAAAATGAAACATGTTTATTGCATGTATTTATAAGAAATTTGGATCTTATATTCATTTCTCATTTGTTTCAACACTTTGACATGCCATTTTAGATATCATCACCTGTCTCGGAGTTTCAAAATTTTCTCTGCCTGTCCAGCCATTTAGTAAAGAAAGACACTCCCTTCCCCTGTCAATTCTCTTCCCCACCCCCTGCAGCCCCCTCCCTTTCCAATGTAAAATTCTATATATTGTGTTTCGGGGAAAAAATGGAAAACTGATATTTTAGTTGGTTTGAATATAACATTAGCAACCTAGATGCTTAAATTGATGTGGTAACTTGGAAGAAAATGTATTTTTGATTCAAGCTGTACTGCATAAAGAGTTTTTCTCTTTATAAAATGCAATAATACATATATTTAATATTTCTTGAGTTACTAAGTTCAGTTTGTGCATATAGAATTTAAGCATCCTAAAATTGTATCTATTTACCTCTTTATCCTTCAGAAATTTTTATTTTACACTTACTATGTGTACAGTCTCATGCAACATTAAAAATATGGTGTCTTTACTCAAGAAATTTATGCCCTAATAGTTGGAATTTGATACAAGGGGAAGATTTCCAATGCAAAATATTGTATGCTGTTGGCATGGGCTGCCACCTTTTCCAAATCCAAAGAAGTCTTCTGACGATGATGAAGTATGAACAACAAGTGATTATAATGTGGACACACAAGCACATTATTTATACTTTCATAGATTCTGACTGGAGTCACTGGATATACAGCATACCCCAAAATTCATTTTAGTGTATAAGATGATATTAAAATCTTTTATATAAAAATTTAATTTCTTTTCCTCATGGCATTATTTATTTTCTGTATCAAAAAATCCTCCCAATTTCTTCCCCTAAATTCTCCCTAAATGTGAAGCTATCCAAGGGAAATGAGCACTCCTGTAATTAAGGCTTTTTTTTTTTTTTTTTTTTTACATTGTACATTGGTTGTTCTAGTACCATAAAGGGGGGCTTATTGCTGAAGCAACGGGGAATGGACAAGTATAGTTTCAGCCTTTACTGAGATTTTAACTCTGGATAAACTCTTACTAGATTCTTAGACTGCCTCATTCCTTATAATTCTGAAATTTTCTCATCTGTAGGTTTTCCATTTCTTTGGAAACCAAGGTTTATTCCCCTGATTTCCCTGACTTCACATATTCTATTTCAATGATATAACATGGATTTCTTTCCCTCTTCTAGGACAAATATTTTCCTTCTGAACATTTCCAACCACTTAACATTCTGCAAACATTTGCATGTGCCGTTCCAAATATTCAACTGGAGTATAAACAGAACCTTAGATTAACCCCAAGGTAAGACTTACAACACTTGGATTGACCAATATACAGCACTATGAATGGACATTTTTGGAAAATCATCTGTTTTTCAACTACTCTTTAGCACTCTTTTTTTTTTTGTCCTTTGAGAGAGAGAGCGCGTGCGCGTGCCTGTGTACACACATGGGGGAGGGGCAGAAGGAGACAGAGAATCCCAAACCGGCTCCATACCGAGCACAGAGCCCAATGAGGGGCTCAATCTCACCAGAGATAAAGAGTCTCCTGAGCTGAAATAAAGAGTCTGACACAACCCACTGAGCCACCCAAGAGCCCTTAATACTCTTTTTCTTACCTTTCCCTTATTCATTGTCAAAATCAAAGAGCCATGGTTCCATTAATTTACTCAACTTTTTTTTCAACAAACTGTAATCACTGTTTTTCAATCATAATTAAGCCAGTAAGATTTCCTCACCCTTTTTTAAAAAGCTCATAGCTTTTTAAAAAAGCTAACCTAGATATTTTTTTAAGGCCTGGATTGCTTGCAAGAAGTTCTACATTCAGCTTTCTTTCCCCAGTTTTATGAGGTATAATTGGCAAATAAAACTCAATTGTATATATTTAAGACACACAGCATGATGCTTTACTGCTTAACTAGGGAACGCCTCACACATTTGCATGTCATCCTTGCGCAGGGGCCACACTAATCTCTGTAGTTCTCCAACCCCAGTACCTGGGCTGCCCAAGTAAGCACCTGATATTCTGACATACATACGCATCTGCAATGATTACCACACTAATACTACTTGGCCTATCTATCACCTCACTTAGTTACCATTTATTTATTTATTTCCTGATTTATTTATTGGGAGAACGTTTAAAATGTACTCTTAACTCTAGGCCCGCTTTTAATTCTACCACAGACAAGCTTGCTCATAATTTACAAAGAAGACGTTGTATTAGTTCCTTTGTCTCCAGGGAAGAATACTATTACAGACTAAATTCACCAGTCTAGATATTCACATTGTTTTGTTCCACATGAGTACTGAGGTAAAGTAGTGTGACCCAAGAGTTTGCTCAGCTATGTAATGAAAAGATTATCCTTTTTATAACAAAAGTCTGAAATTTATGTAGTGCTGCTATTTTTTTTCCTTCCATTTCCACCCACTCAGGTGTGCTATCTGGATACAGTCCTACAAACCTTGTGTTTATGGTTGATACAAAATTTAGCCACAGTTTATTGAGTGGAGAAAGATTCCAGGCTATCATGCACAGGGAACAAAAGATCACTTTCGAAAATAGTTAGGCAGTTCCTCCAAAATTAAACATATGATCTAGCAATTATATTTCTAGCTATATATCCAAAACAGTTGAAAATATATACCTATAAAATATGTACATTAATTTTAATAGCAACATTATTTATGATAATCAAAATGTGCAAGCAACCCAAATATCTATCCATTGATTAAAGAGTAAGTAAAAAGTGGTATATCCATATAATGCATTATTACTTAACCATAACAATATATTACTGATTGACCCTAAGCATTGACAATACTTGAAAATATTATGCTTACTGAAGGAAGTCAGACACAAAAGCCACATATTGCATGGTTCCATGTATGTGAAATGGCCAGTGCAAAAAATCCATAGAGATAGTGGTTATCAGTCTTTATTTTTCATATGATGAAAATGTTCTGGAATTAAATAGATTGTGATTTATTGTGATTATTACACAATTATGTGAATATACTAAAATGCATTCAATTGTATACTTTAAAAGAGTGGGTGGTATGATATGTAAATCATATCTCAATTTACAAAAAAATTGAGAACAGGAGGTGAATGTTTGTGTGAATGGAAACATACAATACCTACATCTGCTTCTGGCCAAATTGGAATAGCAAGGTATAAATTTATCTTCAAACAATGAAGAACTAAAGAACTGATAAAACAATATCAGTTCTGAACTGAAAAAACAATAGCTCTCAAGATGACTTTGGATATTAGGCCAAAAGGTCAGTGCTTTCTGGGAGAAATAAAACAAATAAGAAAACTTCCTGTTGCTCCAACTTACTAAGTGGAAAACTTTCCAGGAGGAGCAACACAGAGTGTGAAAGCCCATTTAGTGACTTTCTGAGCTGGGGAAGTGGAGATAGGAGCCTGGAGAAGGCATGGCATTTAGGATTTCGGATTGTCTAAGTGAAAAAAAACTGTTGAATATTAAAAAAATTAATAAGTAAGGCAAACCCCAAAAAACAAAACAAAACTCCCCCCAAATCCAGAACTAATAAGTTAGTTTAGCACATTTGCAGGATGCCAGTTCATAATAAAAATACCAACCATATTTCTATACACAAACAATAAAATAAATTGAAATTAAACAATACCATCAAAAATATTAAATACTAGGGATATATTCAACTATAGGTACATAAGACTTGTATGCTCAAATCATTGCTGAGAAGCATTAAAGACCTGAAAATAAATAGTTATATTGGTTTTAGGAATTGGAGGTTCGATATTGCTAAGATGACAATTGTCCCAAAATAGATCTATAAGAATTCTATGTGATCCTTATCAAAATCTCAGCAGGTTCTGCATTGTTAGAAATTGACAAGATGGTTCCAAAATTCGTATATAAATGCAGAATACCAAGAATAATAAAAACAACTTTGAAAAAATAAGAACAAAGTTGAAAGACTCACATTAGCTAGCATTAAGACTTTTTATAAAGCTGAAATAATCATGCCTGTATCATATTCATGTCAAGATAGAGAAAAGATCAATGGAATAGAGAGCCCAGATAAGTCCCACTTGTATATATTCAATTGATTTTTAGCAAAGATGCAAAGGCAATTCAGTGGAGAAACTAAGTTATTTCAAAACATTTTGCTGGAACAATTGGCTTTCTATGTGCACAAAATGAACTACCCATGCCTTGCTCCATATGCAAAAATTAATTCAAAATTGATCTTAAGCTTAAATATGTTTCATAAAACTAAAACTTCTACAAGAAAACTTAGGAGGGAAAATTTTTTTGACTTTGTTAATGAAAAAATTTCTTAGATGAACCAAAAACAAAACCCATAAAAGACAAAAATCCATTAGTTTGATCTCATCAAAATTAGCAAAGACTAATAGGAAGAGACAAACCATGACAGAGAAAAAATATTTGCAAATTTTATACCTGATAAAATATTTATATCTAGAATATATATGATACTCTTAAAACTCAATATTAAGAAAGCAAACAACCTAATAAAAAAATAAGCCAAAGTTTTTTAGACACCTCACCAAAGGTGACATTTCCTTTCTCAAATGAAGACATAAAAAAAGTTCAGCATGATTAATCATCAGAGAAATGCAAGTCAAAACCATAGTGTGGTTACACACACCTTTTAGAATGGCCAAAGTAAAAACATTGACCATGCTAAATACTGGTGAGCATGTTGTTCAACGTCTAAATTTTCGTAAACTGCCAGTGGAAATACCTGACCATAATGACTTGCCATTCCAGTTCTAGGTATTTATATAAGACAAATGAAAAGTTATATTCATATCAAGACACATATGCAAAGATTTATAGCTGTTTTACTTGCAATATCACCAAAGCTGGAAACAATCCAAATGTCCATGAGGAAGTAAACGGGTGAGTACACTGTGATACATCTATACAATGAAATACTACTCATTTGTAAAAGGGAATGAATTGTTGATGAATGCAACAACATAGATGAACCTCAAAATCATTATGCTAACTGAAAGAAACTAGACAAAAAGTACATACTTTAATATTTATTTAAAAAATCCATCATATGTATATTAATCTATAGTGATCCAAAGTAAATCAGTGGTTGCCTGGGGGGAGAGAAGTGAGTGGGTCAAAAGAGAAGAATAGAGGGGTTACATCAGGATTATTAAAAAATCTGGGGGTGTGAAGAATATATTCACTATTTTGGTTATGTTGATGTTTTACAAGTGCATACATATGTCAAAATTTTGACATAATTACACACTTTAAGCATGTGTAATTAATTGCTTGTCAATTATACTTCAATAAAGCTGCTAACAGATTTTTAAATCACACACGAAATTCTAATTTTTGTACTGTATGCCAATTAGGAGATTGACACGGAGATAAAACACATTCCAACCTTACAAAGATTAAACCCTAAAGAACACATATACTATGATTTAACAATAGAATATATATATATATTTCCTTGTTCAAACAATTTTGGAACTGTCTGAACTGTCTGATGTTGAAAATCCCCTAAGTAGCAATATCAAGCAATCATAAATCTAAGTAATCTTTAATTAGAAAAATGCAGAGTTAGCTGGCTCTTCTTGCCTAAGAAGCTGTAGAAGACAATCATGAGCCAAGCTTTTGGCTATTTTTTTACTTTTATTTTTTCCAGTTTTATTGAAATATAAAAATATACAAAACTGTATTAGTTTAACATGTACAGTATAATGATTTGACTCATATTGTGAAATTATTGCCAGAATAGGTTTAGTTAAAATACATTATAATGTAGGAAAAAAAAGAAAGAGAGAGAGAGGAAGGAAGGAAGGAAGAGAGAGAAAAAAATAGAAAAGTTTTTTTCTTGTGATGAAAACTCAGGTTCTACTCTCTTAACAACTTTTAACTATACCATATAGCAGTGTTAAGTATAGTCATCATGTTGTACATTATATCCTTAGTACTTATTTATTTTTTTAACGTTTTTTTAAAATTTATTTTTGAGACAGAGAGAGACAGAGCATGAACGGGGGAGGGGCAGAGAGAGAGGGAGACACAGAATCAGAAGCAGGCTCCAGGCTCTGAGCCATCAGCCCAGAGCCCAACACGGGGCTCGAACTCATGGACCGCGAGATCGTGACCTGAGCTGAAGTCGGACTCTTAACCGACTGAGCCACCGAGGCGCCCCAGTACTTATTTATTTTACAGGTGTAAGTTTGTACATTTTGACCACCTTTATCCAAGTCACTCTCCACCCACCTTTTGCCTGTGATAACCATAAATCTGATCATCTTTTCTGAGGTGGATTTTTTGTTTTTTGGGTTTTTTTTTTTTTTTTTTGATTTCACATATAAGTGAGAGCATACAGGATCATACAGTATTTATCTTTCTCTGTTTGACTTATGTCACTTAGCATAAAGCCGTCAAGGTCCATCCATGTCTTCACAAATGGTGGGATTTCCTTCTTTTTTAAGACTAAATATTCCAGTGTGTGTGTGTGTGTGTGTGTGTGTGTGTGTGTGTGTTTGAGTGTGTCACAGCTTTATCAATTTATCTGTTGATAGACACTTAGGTTTCTTCCATGTCTAGCCAAACTTTATAAATGGCAATAAGTAATGGGAATTTTATCTTCAAAAATTCAGATATTGACAAATAGCTTAGATAACTGTATTTTGGGTTATCCAAATACTGATTTACCCTCATCTCTCTTAAATCAGGATATAATGGTGGCTGTCTTAAACAAAATTTGGTAGAACATGACATCTTATCAAGAAATGTCATGATTAATATAGTAATTGAACATGTTATTTTAATGCTATGAAAAATTAGGCTGACACAATAGAGAACTGAAACTATCTTGGTGACTTGCATAGACACATATATATTTGTGAAGTATTAAATAATAAAATGTAGAAAATTATATATATACGTATACATATGTTTATATATATGTATTTGTATATATTATATATATATATTTGTTTATGATTCTGTGAGCACAGAGA